GGGGACGCATGCGAAAACCGCCAGTTCGGGCCTGCGGTGGACCTCACTATGGGGCCACGAACCGTGTGATGGGTGTGCCGAACTGGGCGCGAGCGGACGCATGCGATACCCACCACTGGGGCATGCGGTGGGGCTCCACATGGGGCCACGAAGCGTGTATAACAATGTGTCGCAATGCGTGTGTTGGGGGGCGCATGTGAAAACCGCCACTGAAGCCTGCGGTGGGGCTCCCTATGGGGCCACGTAACGTGCGAAGGATGTGCCAACATGGGTGCAGGGGACGCATGCGAGAACTGCCAATGAAACCAACGGTGGAAATCCCTGTGGGGCTACGGAACGTGTGACGTGTGCGCCAATGCGGGGGACGCTTGCGAAGACCGCCCGTGAGACCTTCAGTGGAGCTCCCTCTGGTGCCACGAAACGTGTGTGGTAAGTATGTGTGTGTGGGTGTGCCGAACTGGGCACGGGGGACGTATGCGAAGATTGCCATTGGGGCCTTTGGTAGAACTCCCAATGGGGCCACGAGGCATGTGATTGGTGTGCCGAAATCGGTGCGGAGGGCACATGGAGAACCGCTACTGGAGCCCGTGGTGGAGCTCCCTATGAGGCCAAAGGGCTTGTGATGGGTGTGCCGTTAAAAAAGGGGGCGCATGCGAAAACTGCGACTGGGGTCTTCGGTGGGGTTCCCTGTGGGGCCACGAAGCGCGTGAAGGGTGTGCCGAAGTGTGTGCGGTGGACGCATGCGAGAACCGCCAGTTCGGGCCTGCGGTGAACCTCCCTATGGGGCCACGAAGCGTGTGATAGGTGTGCCGAAATGGGCGCGAGCGGCGCATGCGAGAACCGCCACTGGGACCCTCGGTGGGGGTCACGATGAGGGCACGAAACGTGTGAAATGCGCGCCAAAAGTGGTGCGGGGGACGCATGCGAGAACCGCCGCTGGGGCCTGCGGTGGAGCTCCCTAAGCAGCCAAAAAGCTTGTGATGGGTGTACAGTGAAAAACACCGGGAGCGCATGCGAGAACCGCGGCTCCCTATGGTGTCGCTAAGCGCGTGAAGGGTGTGCCGAAATGTGTGCGGGGGACGCATGCGAGAACCGCCAGTGCGGGCCTGTGGTGGGCCACCCTATGGGGCCACGAAACGTGCGATGGGTGTGCCGAAATGGGCGCGAGGGGCGCATGCGAGAACCCTACTAATGGGGTCCTCGGTGGGGGTCACGATGAGGGCACGAAGCGTCTGGAATGTGCGCCGAAATGTGTGCGGGGGGCGCATGCGAAAACCGCCGCTGGGGCCTGCGGTGGGGCTCCATATGGGGCCACGAAGCGTGTGAGGGGTGTGCCGAAATGGGTTCGGGGAGGTATGCGCGAACTGCCACTGGAGCCTTCGGTGGAACCCCTGAGAGGCTACGAAACGTGCGCGGTGCGCGCCGAAATGGGCGCGGGGGACGCATGCGAGAACCACCACAGGGACCTGTGGTGGAACCCCCTAATGGGGCCACGAAGCGCGTCAGGGGTGTCGGAGGGCAGAAGCAGGGATGGCAGGGATGGGAGAAAGAGGAGGGAGATGAGGAGGAATGAAGAAGGAAGAGGAGACAACGGGGCGCTGTCCATTCAAAACGAAAGACCCAACACCACAGCTTGGTTTTGAATAGGACGCGTTCGGTTCTCGATGGCCAAAATTGTGGATTTCCTGCTCGCGCGCACTTGCTGAAACCATGAACAACACATGGTCCAACAATCTTGTCCAAAATCCGCATTCTCAACTTACCCCGCGATACATCCGGGTTGATCTAGCACTCGTCCAGACCACGAACCCGTATCAAATAATACCATGCGCGTCGAAAGCGCGCGTCGAAAACCTTCCAACACCATTTGTTTTCGAGACATTCCAATCTATAACTTTTTACAATCACACGACACGCAATTGTGATTCAAACCACAACCGCCAAATTTCTTGCATTTCCGCGCGCACTTCCTCCGCACCACACCCATCAACACAACCGCATCACCGCCGTTATCATCATCGTCAAGCGCCGAAAGTCGCCGGCAGCAGCCAATCACTTTTTTCATCGCTGGCGCATTGGTACAATGATCGTCGTCGCCATTGGAGCCATCATTTGCCTTGCCGTCGTAATCACCATCGTCGCCGCTACCATCGCTACCATCAACATCGTTGCCGCCGTTGTCGCCCGCTGTCGAGGCCATCATCATGTTACTTCGCCCGCTGGAGTCACCGACCCGCACTGAAGCGACCATTGAGATGCGCTAGGTCGTTCCTATCGGTAAGCGCCATCGCGGCCGGGTCAGTTGTGTCAAACCAGCTGGCCGCTCTGCACGCGAGCTTGCGCGCGCTAGCGCAGCCGCAGATGCACCAACCAGTGCCAAATAGTCACCGCAATCCCGGCCGCATGGGTTGTGCAAAAGAAGTTGCGGGTGGTCGCGTGGGATGCTTGCGCGATCAGTGGAACTGAGGACTTCAACTTCAGCAAGGTGGACTACCCTACATAGCCTACACCGCATAGGTGACTGCACACGGATTGCACCGCACAGTTCGCACCTGGTAGCTGGCATCGCATCTGCGTATATCTATACAAATATCGCATCAAGAAGAAGTCATTCACTTCTTACTTGAGCAGCACGTGTGATAATTCCTGATTGCAAGCACTGTTCGGGGAAGCATCGCAACACCGAAAGAAAGCAAAGAGCACCAGCCGTACAGAATCTTCACAAGGTACCAGGGCAAGAACCAATAGCTCGCAAGATTCAATGGTATCCCCCCTGTGCCAACCGTAGAGCACCACTGCGAGGTTCCCTGCCCCGCGCCCGGGGGCGCGAGGCCCGAGGTGAACTGCGCCGCGCGACCCTCCCGAGGTCTGGGTCATGGGCAATTCGCCCACGAGCTCGTGGATGCTTCAAACACTTAAGCCGTTTGGACGTGGACCGAACTGATGGCACCAACACGATAACGAGAACCTCGGAACACCATACGGAACCATAAGGCATCGGCCCTGTGGAAAACCCTCCTCGGGGTACCAAGGCAAAACCGAAGCAATCGCAACCTTCAAGCAACAACCACAGACCCCCACCCATAGGGCACCGTGACAGTAATCGCATAATTGCGACACTCATTTCCATGACTTCCAACGTGGACCCTCCAACAGTGGATTAGAGTAGTTGGTCTCAACCAAAGCTAAAAAGCGCAACCGTAACAACAGGGGGGGCAGGTATCGCAGAGCACCAACCATATGACACCATCCATTGAACACCATGGTGCGAACCAACACTCGCAACACATAGGTCCCATAGAACACCAACCACGTAACACCAGGGCGAATATCAACAATCGCAACACTTGGGACATCACAGAACACCAACGGTACAACACCGCCAGAATGGCGCGAAGGCGAGAATGATCAACCGCTACAGATGGCGGGTCATAGAGCACCAACCAAGAAGCACAACCCATAGGGTGCCACGGCGAGAACGAGCAGTAGCAACAGTTGGTGCAGCATACAGCACCATCCATAGAGCACCAGAGCGAGAACAAGCAGTCGCAACACATGGGGAACCATATAGCACCAGCCAGAAACTATCACCCATCAAACGCCAAAGCGAGAACCAGCAATCGACGCATGCGGAGCACCCATCCTAGTGCACCACCCATAGGGCACCATTAGGAGAACCGACGATCGCAACACCTGAGGCACCAGACAGAGCCAGCCATGGAGCACCGCCCATCGAGCATCAATGCGTCACGAACAATCGCTACAGGTGGGCCATCATACAGCACCAGCCGTAGAACACCAGGACCAGACCGAGCAGTGGCAACGCACTGGGCATCATAGAGCACGTGCCTAGGGCACCAGCCATAGAGCACAACGGCGAGAACGAGAAACAACACTTTTTTGTGTTGGCGGCTAGGCATGGTAACTGCGCTGGCGGAGGGCCACCTAAACGGGGATACCATTGTAGCGAATTGTGCCACCTTGCAGGCAGGAGGGGAAAGCAGAGGAGGAACGAGAAACAACACACACAGGGCATCATAGAGGACCAGCCATAGAGCACCAAGGCGAGAACGCACATCAATCGCGTCCAATGGGCATCACAGAGCACCAGCCGTAGAGCAGCAAGGCGAAGACGAGCCAAAACAACATATGGGGCATCATAGCCCAGCAGCCGTAGAGCACCGCCCATGGAGCCCACGGGTGAGAGCGAAACATCACGACAAGCGGGGCATCGTAGAGCACCAGCCGTAAGCCATCACCCACAGGGCACCAGGGCGATGACAATCGCAACGCATGGATCACCATGGAGCACCAGCCACATGTACCGCCCACAAGGTACCTCGGCGAGAAAGAGTAGTTACAACAATTGGCACGTCGTAGAGCACCATACATAGAGCACCATAACGATAATCAACACACGCAACACGTGGGGCATCCCATAACACCACAACAGAACACCAATCATAAAACGCTAGCCGTGAAACACCAGGGCGAGAGCGAACGAACGCTCACAACACATGTTTCGGGCTCCTCACTTTGCACGTAGGAATCACTGTTTCGAGGATCCTTGACGAAATGAGAAGGATGCCCTTAATGCAAGCACCGTCTGGGGAACATGTCGCCGCTTGTCCAAATGTGATGGCGGAGTTGCGCGGCAGCGCAGCTGGATAGGATTGGCACGATGGGCAGGCAACCAAGCAAATACCGAACAAATTGAGCATGCTTTGGCAAACACGTGAACCGGATGAAACAATGGTTGCGTGCGATAGGTGGGGAGAACCAGCAGCTGGGAGCTGCCCAGGGAGACAAGACACGACGGGCCGATGTATAAGCGACAGTCACATCCTGGACACGCTTCACACACGTGCGGCAAATCCTGGACGTAATTCTGCCCCATCTCGCCGCTGCGTGCTCCTCTTTGGTTTTCCTCCCTTCCTCCACAAGGCCGCTGGAAAAGACCAGGGCCAAATGCGCGCACAATTCCAAATGGAACGGCGCACCTGGGAGTGACGAAAGCGACCTCGTCAAACTTGCTGTCCATCTTGCCTCTTGAGAGCCATCCCAAATCACCGCCTTTCTTTGCCGTGATGCCGTCGTCTGACTTCTCCTGCGCCAGCATGCCGAAGCGCGCGGCGCTGGCGCCCCTGATGAAGCCGGTGCGGTCGGCGACGCCCGTGGCCAGCAGCTCCGCGTAGATCCTGCGGATCTTCTCGGAGCTGCTGCTCACGATGTGCCTGCCCCTCACCTGGGAGCAGGGCTTCTCGGGGTGCGCGGGTCGGGGCATCTCCTGCGACCAGATCTTGACACCCGCGCCCCCGGCGTCGCCCGCGGCGTCGCCAGCTGCCGCCAGCATCGCGGCACCCTTGAGCCTCTCCGCCTCCCAGCGGGCCCGCGAGAAGGCGGAGAAGTCCGTGTGCGCCCTGGCGCCCCTTGGAGCTCTCGCGGGCGGCGCACACCAGGCGCGGGCGCGGGCGCCCTCCCGAAAGGGCGGTGGGCCTCCGAGAAGGCGTCGGCCTTTGCGCAAGGGCCCAGGGGCCCCCGAGGAGTCTCCCCGAGAAGGCGGGGGCCCCCCTGTCTGCTTCTGGCGGGTGAAGATTTGGACGCCCGAAAGGGGTACGGAAGAAATGGATACCATGCCCAACAACAAAACTTGTCCCAAACCAACAGCGGCCGCTGTTGGGCAGGCGGCCGTTTGTCTCACATGGACACAGGCCGTGGCGGCGCGGACAGCGAATCCTGTTCAGAATGAACAGGAACTGCTGTTGGGCATCGTACCCATGTTTTCCGTACCCATTTCGGGCGTCCAGAGAAGAACGGTCCAACATGCACTTTTCCGCAGTCGGGGACGCCTGTCCCGGGTCTGCTGGACAACTTCTACCGCCACCTGCCACCGTCAGGGTATGTGAACTTCCCAGCCGCCCCGAGACAGGCGTCCCCGAAGGCGCAACACTTTCGTATGTGCCGCCCTTCGCCCGCAACCTGTGATGGGCCCCCTCCGGAAGGCGAAGCCTTCCTCGCGCCGCGACCTCCCCCGCCTGGCGCGCGCCTCCAGCCCCTCTCCTCCACCGGGGGCGCGCAAGCATGGATTAGCGACCCATGGATTTGGCGCGCGGCCGCCAAATCCATGGATCGGGGGAGGCGCCCTCCCCAAAATGTGGCCAGTGCCGCCCATGGAAACGGGACCCGTCGCTAATCCACGCCCCCTTGGTCCATGTTTGCGATCGCCTGACTCCAGACGTCGCAATCCTTCCGCGGCGCGTGCCCCTTGGGATCTCGCCCCCGCCTCGGGGGCCAGCGCTTCTCGGGCCCGCCCAGGAGGGGGGCCCAGGCAGAGGGGCGGGTTTGCACCAATTCTGCGGCATCATGGCCCGAGGCATGTGTTAACGGACGAGGGGGGGGGTCAGGGAGCGTGCTGAGAGAAAAAACGCGGCCATGAAATCCGAAAGATATCCCAAGTAGCCCCGGACACGATATCCACATTCCCCTGGTCTTTACCCCCCTCTTGGACTCCCACGATTTTCGCCCCGCGCCGTTGCTTGACGGCCCCGGGGCCAGGAAAAGTGGAGGCCGAAGAAACGCCCCCGAGCCAGACATCCGACGGATTGACTTTTTCAAGCGTCCCTGATCCACTTTTGACGGTCCTGGGTCCCCAAAATGGCCCCAGGAGGCCGAAATCCAGAAAAGCGCTGGGAGTGGAAAGCTCGATCCGCCCGAAGTCTGGGAAGCTGACCGTAGCAATCTTTTGCGCCGCCCAGGTCTGAGGGATCTGGTCCTGGATGGAGCGCGCCGTCCAGCGGTGCCGGTGGCAGGCCCCGCGGCCGCGCCAGCGAGTGCCCTTCGTAGCCGCTCGTGCTCGGGCTCCAGGGCCCGGAGCAAGTGGGAGGCCTGAGCTGGCGGGGGTCATGTGGAGATCACCGCTGGAGCTGCTCGGGGGGTGCACTCAGAATTGATAGCAAGGACACGCCATGAGGCCGCAAGCTCCTTGGACGGCCATGTCGAAGCTTCTCGAGCGGTGCCGGCCATCGAAAGTGGTTAAGTATGGCCCAGAGGGCAAGGATGCAAGGGTACCCTTGGGAAGATGACCAATCCTCACCATCGACCGCGACTGTAGAAAAGTCAGAAGTGGATGCGAAGGCGGGCTATTTCTGGCCCTTTCTATCTTATCAGTAGGTCGCAACTGCCCAAAATGGTTCTTGGGGGTGCAGATCTGGTCTTAGGAGGCGGATCCCACTGTGGGGAATTATCCAACAACATCCTCGGTTACTTATGGTACTTGTAAACCACTGGTAAACTAGGTTACGCCAGATGCAAGCCACCTCAGCATTAGGTCGGGCGTGTCCTCCTAGAGGCGGATTCTGGACGAACAATGACACATACAAATAATAAAACAATACTCCTGAAGTCGTCCCCGAACCATTTGTTCACTATTTTTGAACATTCCTCCTGCAGAGGGACGTGCCCGACTGAACCTTAGCATGCACTTCTGACCTCCCGATCCCCTGAACAACCCAACGGTGATCCCGGTGCGGCCCGGGGGGCGTCGGGCGGACCCGCACCACGCGACGCATGTCTGTGTTGAGCTCTCGCTTCGGCAGCATCAAATTGTTGGGGATCCCCTCGTCGCCGGTGCCGAATGTGCCGTTTCAATGGAGCTGCCCCCGAGTGGGCTCGCACCTTGCTTTTTGCCTGGGGAAGTCTTCCTGCTCGAACTGTGTTTTGTGGGGCTGCGGCTTGCACCAACCACGGCTCCCACCTGGTAGTTCCTCACAACTTCGCACTTTGCTGAGCAATCGCGCTCTCGCCTGGGACTTCCCTGCAATTCACTTCGGGTCCTCCAGGAAGGCCCGAAGAGGCAAACATAGGTGATTTTCCTTCGGATTTTGAAAGATTTTGATACTTGCTTCTTTTCGGCCTTCCGACGGCCCGAGACGGCCCAAGAGCCCTCAAAGATCGTCCCAAGATCGCCCAAGAGGCCTCCAGGATGGTCCCAGAAAGGCCCAAGAGGCCCTCAAGGCGGTCCCAAGATGGCCCCAAGACGGCCCAAGTGGACGCCCAAGATGGCCTCCAAAACGGCCCTGGATCACCCCAAGAGTGCCCCAAGTCGGCCCAGAGAGGCTTCAAAGACGGCTTCCGAGAGCGTCAGACGGCTAGGAATGCCCTAATATGGTTAAAGAGGCCTCCGAGAAGCCCTCGAAGGCCCTCAAGAGGCCCAAGGAGGCCCCAAGAGGCTCCCAGGATGCGCCAAGAGTGCCTCCAGAGACTCTACTCCTACTCCTGATCTTCCCCGCCATCCTCTCCCAAGTGTTTTCCGAAGAGTTTCCACAACGGCTAGGGGAACACATGATCCGATAGCTTAGCAGAGCTCTTGCCACAACGCTCGGCCACATGGGCAATTCCAAAAAGCAGGGGGCGGCGGTGATTCGCCGTAGGCGTGTGCGATCCGCCGCCCCCCAATGGTCTTGCTGCGTGCCGAAAGTCTGGCAAGTTCTTCCCTTTTCTGCAGAGCTCCCAATGGGGCCATGGCCCAATCCGCCAGCCACCAGAAAAGCGCGCCCGGCGGCGCCTCTCCCGTCAGTTTCTTCAAAATAGGATGGCCTCAAGATGGTGCAACTTGGCCTCCAAGACAGCCAAGATGGTCCCAAGAGGGCCCAAGATGGCGCCACGATGTCTTCAAGACGGCCCGTGATGCACCCAAGACGGCCTAAGACGGCATCGAGATTGCCCAAGGCGGCCCAAGGGGCCTTCGAGGTCCTCCAGGAAGGCCCGAAAAGGCACACTTCGGTGATTTTCCTTTGTTTTTTTTGACAGATTTTGACATTTGCTTCTTTTCGGCCTTCCGACGGCCCGACACGGCCCCAAAGCCCTCAAAGATCGCCCCGAGATGGCCCAAGAGGCGTCCAAGTTGGTCCCAGAACGGCCCAAGAGGTTCCCAAGACGGCCCCAAGAGGGCCCCAAGACGGCCGAAGAGGATGGCCTTCAAGGCGACCCTGAAGCGCCCCAAGAGGGCCCCAAGACGGCCCAGAGAGGCTCCCAAGGCGGCTTCCGATGGGCCAGGAATGCAATAAGACGGCCAAAGAGGCCCCCAAGAAGCCCTCAAACGCCCCCAAGAGGCCCAAGGAGGCCCCCAAGATGCCTCCAAGAGGCCTCCAGGAAGTTCCCAGGATGCCCCGAGAATGACCCAAGAAGCTCCCACGAGGTATCCTCATCCTTCTCCTCATCCTCCTTTTGCCAACCTCTCCTCATCCTCTTCTTCCTCCAGCACGTGTTCCCCGAAAGGCTTCCACGACGGCTGGGGGAACGCAGGGCCCAATAGCGTGGCCAAACTTTGCCCAAACGTTTGGTCACATAGGTATATCCTAAAAAGGCAGGGGGCGGCGGTGATTCGCCGTAGGCGTCTTCAGCACCGACATCGCTATTCCCTGGACTCCTCGCGGGGTACGTTCTGACCTGAACTTCGGGGCGAATTCGGCCGTGGCGACGACAGCCGCCCAGGAGGCCCACAAGGGCGAAAACGAGGGCAGGGTAGCGGCATCGGAACCTTGAAATGGACCCTGAGAGGGGGGGCGAAGGCAAAAAGAAGCCAAATTCTCCGCGCCGACGCCGGCCTCCCGCAGCCGCTCCGGCGCCGCGCCGCTGCTCGCCGCCTCCAGCGCGCCCTGCAATGCCGCCGCCGTGCCCGCCAAGACCTCGCGGCCGCCTCGTCTTCCTTCCCGGCGCACCCGCCCTGACATCCCCTCGTCACGAGAGATCTCGGCGGGGGGTTTTGCGAACTTCTGGCCTCCGGGGGCCCTCGAGCGAAACCGGGGGCCGTCAGCGCACGACTGGGGACGAAGGGCCGGCCCGTGGGAGGGGGCCCAGACCTCTGGGGAGCCAGGCTGCGGAAAAAAAATCGCGACGTCGGATGTCTGTGTGGTGTGGCCGGCTGAAAGGCCCCCTGAATCCACCGCCTCCGCTTCCGCCGCCTTCCGCATGTCTTCTGCTGGCGGATCCGCCGCAAGTTTGCTGCCGCCGCCTTCCGCCGAGGGCGGAGACGCGCCAAAGGTGAGGCCCTTTCTGGAAGGTGCCGCGTGGAGTGGGAGCAGGAGGAGGAACGCCGAGGGGACGATCGGCCGACAAGCCGAAAGGCACTGTGGGCGTTGCGCGAGCGTGAGCGAGTGCAGCGAGGTGGCAAGGCTATCGGCTGGGCAAGCCCGGAGAGAGAGAGAGAGAGAGAGAGAGAGAAAGAGAGAGCGAGAGTCGGGGGCGTCCAAGAGGGGCATTCGCAAATCATGGCCCGAGGCATGTGCGCGGCCTAGAGAGGGGGGGGCGACAGAAGGGGGGTCGACATCTGGGGAGATGTCGTGGACATCGGAGGAGATGCCACGGCCCTGGACATGAGATCCACTCCCCCGACGGAGCCCTTAGCCCCCTCTTGGACGCTCCTGGCGCCAGCGCTGCTGGTGCGGCTGCTGCCTGTATCTTTGCTGACGGTGCCCCCCCACCGCCGTCGCCGCAGCCGCAGCCGTCGTCGTCGTCGTCGTCGTCGTCGTCGTCGTCGTCGTCGTCGTCGTCGTCGTCGTCGTCGTCGGCGTCGTCGTCGTCGTCGTCGTCGTCGCCAACGTCTTCGTCGTCGGCGTCGTCGTGAATCTTCGTCATCACGCGGATCAGCCGCTTCCGAAACCGAGCCGCAAGTGGGGGCTCTCGCAAGAGGGCTTACGTGCTTACGTCCTTGGCCGAAGCCTCCCCGGGCCAAGGTCGGGTTTCCACAGGCCGCCAGGCGGCAGGCCATCTTCGGCGCTGACAGCAAGATGTGGAGCATCCTGGGGCTTGGGCCTTCCCGAGCGCATCCGTTCACAGCGGCCACGTCGCGCTCGCGTCCGTGGGTGATCCGCTCCGCTGCCTCTGCCAACCCGACGTTTCCGTAAGGCGCTTCGGCGACTTGCCCCACGTTTCCGTGAGACAATTTTTCCCCACATCCAAAGTGGGGTTCTTGTTTTCTCTGGACACCCCGCGCAGGAACAGGAACCCACCATCATCATCATCACTCATTCCTCACCCACTCACTCACTCATCATCCCTCACACACTCACTCACTCACTCACTCACTCACTCACTCACTCACTCACTCACTCACTCACTCATCAGCACGCACATATGATGATGATGATGAGTGTGCGCGTGAGAGAGTGTGATGATCATCATCATCATCATCATCATCATCATCATCACCAGTCAGTCAGTCAGTCAGTCAGTCAGTCACTCACTCACTCACTCACTCACTCGCCTTGGGCCTCGTCTGTGAGTGAATTATGAGGAAGTCTCAGGCGGGAGCCCCCTCCCTATGGGGCCCGCGGATCATGTTACTAATCCGAGCGGATCATCCAATTCCTGTAGCTGTCGGCACTTTTGGGCTCTCGCGCTTCCAGAACGCCACTCCCAAGCCACATTTGTCGGTGAATTGCGAGGAAGTCTCAAGCGGGAGCCCCCTCCCTATGGGGCCCGCGGATCATGTTACTAATCCGAGCGGGTCATCCAATTCCTGTAACTGTCGCCACTTTTGGGCTCTCGCGCTGCCAGAACGCCATTCCCAAGCCACATTTGTCGGTGAATTGCGAGGAAGTCTCAAGCGGGAACCCCCTCCCTATGGGGCCCGCGGATCATGTTACTAATCCGAGCGGGTCATCCAATTCCTCTAACTGTCGCCACTTTTGGGCTCTCGCGCTGCCAGAACGCCACTCCCAGGCCACATTTTGAATGCCCGGGGCCAACTGTAGGCCACTTTGTGTTCTTCGTGCTCCCAGAACACCATTCCCGGGCCACATTTTGAATGCCCGGAGCCATCTGTAGGCCACTTCGTGTTCTTCGTGTTCCCAGAACACGACTCCCGGGCCACTTTCTGAATGTCCGGAGCCAAAACATGAGGGCGAGGTCGGGGGCAACGTAGGGAGCGGGGGGAGGGCCCGCGCCAGGGCGAGAAGAAATATACGCAGAAGAGACAGCCAGGACGCCTCACCAACCACGAGGACGACGGTGAGGGCTTTTTCCATATTTGCCCAGAGGATTCTCATGTGGGGTCCTTCCATCGGAGTAATTTTTGAACCCGCTCAGAGGTGCCATCGTCGTCATTGTGATCAAGGTCACCGCCGCCACTGATTTTCCATCCGAAGGGGACCAATAGGAGACAGGATGCAGCTCTGGCGACACTCGAAATCTGCCACCGTGCGGCTGGGCGCAGAATAGAGTAGTGTGAATCTGGCACGGTGCCCCCTGGCACGCTGAGGCGTGGTAGAATGCCAATTGCTGTCTGGTAGGGTCTCCGCAAGTCTTGTGGCCCTCCCCCATCCATACCTACTTGCGTGTATCGCCCACCCTCTTGAAACTTTTTTGGGGTCCCAACGCACCCCTGGAACCCTCGGGAACTCTGGACAGCTCGCAGTACGGCTTAGCAATGTCGCCAAGGCCGTCAAGATGATCCAACATTGCTTTGAGATGTGCCCAGCAGCGTGCAAGAATACTCTCAACGGCGCCAAGAGGGGCACCAGGAGGGGGTCACAACTCAAAACACCAAACGTGCGGCTTAGATGCCCTCCAGGAAAGCTGAACTGATTGAAATGCCTGGGGAATTCCCAACGTTATCAAATCTTTGGAGTTCCCCAAAACTCCAGGCTCCAGCTGGCTGCAAATAGGCCGAGCAGGAGCCGAAGAGATGCCAAAAGAGGGCCCCCAAACAGCCCAAGAGGGTACCAAAACGCCTTCGAAGTCCCCAAAACAGACCCGAGAGGGGGAGAACCGGAGCTGACGCGTGGAGCTCTTGCCAACAATTTGGCTCCTGCGACGGCCAGCAGACCCCAAGACGCTCCCAGAGAGGCCTCCACGACGCCCCCAACAAATCCTCGAGAGTTCCCCCAAGAAGCCGCCACAGGGGCCCCTGGGAGGCCTCCCACGAGACCCGAGAGGCATCCAAGACGCCTCTGACCAACGACCCAGGCACCATGGGGCTTCACGCCACCAGGTAAGAAGGTGGATGAACTTTCGGAGACCCGCGCAGGCACCCGAAAGCTGATGCTTGAGCAGGTTCCCTGCACAAGGCTTGCACTTATGCGTTCTTTACTCCGTTCTCGCAAAGCTGGGCCGGTCCGCCGCCTCCCGCTCGTCGCCGCCGCCCGTCTGGGCTGGTCCGCCCTGGCCAACTTGTGGTCGCCCCGTCTCCGCCCCGTCGCCGCTCGTCGCCGCCCGTCGCGGCCTCGTCGGCCGCCCGTCGCCACCGCCCGTGTGGGCTGGCCTACCGCCTCGGCCAGCTTGTGGCCCCCCCGTCGCCGCCCGTCGCCGCCTCGTCACCGCCGCCTAAGAGATTCTTCATTCTTATCACAACAAGCTCCACCACCCCGCCCAGGGCGGGTGCATCGACCCCCCCCTGGGAAAATGCACATTACATCTGGTTCTGCCCCATCGTTCCTTGTGCAAATCCGCCGGCCCCCTTGTGGGGCCACTAGGCTCTGCGGATTAGGCTTGCTCCTCCCTGCGCCAGTTCCAGTTTCCAGTCTCCAATGTAATCATTCCTGCTTTCTGCTTCCTGCAGACTTGTCGAAGTCCGCGCGAGGGGGGGGAGCCGAAAAGGGCACTGGTTACCACCACCTGGGGGTGTTCTCAGAATTTCTGGGGGTCCTGGGACATGTGCAAGTACATGAGATTCGCGTCCCGAAGCCATATCCCATCGCAAATTACACCGAGTTCGCGCCCCTGAGACCATAATCTGTGCAAATTGACAAATGCTCGCATCTCCGAAGCCAGACGCACTGGCAAATTAAGCTGTGTTCGCGCTCCTGGGACCCACATTCTTTGCAAATTACGCAATGCTCGCGTCTCCGAGGCAATACTCTCTCCTCTAAGTTAATATGAAATACACAATTCTTGCGTCCCCGAAGCCGCGATCCCTTGTAAATTATGAAGTCTTCGCGTCTCCGAAATCATAAATCCTCGTAGCGTACGCAATCTTCGCGCTTTCGAAACCACAATCTTTCATCAAAGGCTCCCTAGACGGTACAAGAAGCCTCCGAGACGGCCCAAGAATGCTCCCAAGCGCCCCAGATGGTCCCAATACGGCCCAAGATGCCCCGCAAAGACCCCCCAAAGCGCTCCAAAAACACCCCCCAGAAGGGCTCAAAAGGCCAACATCTGCGATTTGTTTTAGGTTGTTGATTGATTTTGGCACGCTGGTATTTTCAGGCCCCCCTGTTCGGAGTTCCGACGCTGTTTCACGACTGCGCCCAAGCCTCGCAACATAGGTCTTGCATACCCCATTCTCCGAGAGGGGGGCGGTGGCAGTGGGGCGAAACCCTTTACATATAAATTCATACCACACCCTCAAATCCCGTACCTCCCCCTCCTCCTTGTCGAAGAGCCCAATGCGCGCAAATTCGTTGATGAACAACCATGTGTTCCAATATTTTTCTGAAAAGCGCACGAGCAAGTTCACACGCGCCCGTCGTCGTGCGCGCATGTCGAAATCCTTCAACAAGCTTGGGTTTTGTAGGGATTCTAAGACCGAGGTTTCCGAACAAATGTTGAACTTTTTTGGGTTCCCAACACATTGGAAACACTCTGCGCGCGCGTGTTTGCGAAGTAAAATCGCACGTGAAGACACGCGGGCCTCTCGCGCGCGCATGTCGACATCACTCGAGCGCCCTTGCGCGCTTGCTGGGGGGGG